ACACACACACACACACACACACACACACACACACACACACACGAGAAAGCAAACTTGAAAGTGAAAGGCTTGAGGAAGGAAAAATATACTTTTTAATCCTACAAACTTCAAAATTTCCAAAAATGGCAAAGTCCCTCCTGTAATCATTACCCTGCAGTACTCAAGACTTGATTAACATGTTAATAACGGCATAAATGGGAAGGGCACTACATGATCACCCAAGTTAAAAAGACACCATAAAATGGGAAACGAGTCATAAAAATATTCTGCATATAGCATAGAACATCTTTTATGGCTGTTTTATATAGTGCCTTAGATTTATCATGAGGCCAGAAATGACAATTAGTCAATTGGCAACCCCAGCCTAAGGCTAGGAGATGAAGTGGGGAGGAGGAGGAGGAGGGAAAGAAGGAGGGAGCAGGGGCTGCCAGGAACAGAGCAGCAGAGGATACCATCACATGTGGTATGGCAGGAGGGGCAATTGCTGGGATTGGGGTGGGAGAGGATAAGAGACAGAAAGAACTGTCTCCTGAAATGGGGGCACCTTTAGCCTCTTGCCTTGTCTTAAGACAAAGGCTTGAAAGACTTCACCAGAGAAGCATGGGCACTGCCACAATATTTGAGTTGGGTATCCTCTATTAAAAAGGTGAATTTCCTGTTTGTGAACTCTTCAAAATGCTTCTTTCTGCTTATCAGCACCACCTTTGTTCTGTCCAGGCTAAAATCTTAAGCCACTTGTTTTTCAGCTCCCTCTGCTTTTCCCGAACCCTGCAACACCCAGGACACTGTGCTGTCTACACTTTCCAAACTATACTCATCTCAGAGAAAAAGTGACATTTCAGTCACAGTTAGGTCTTGCTGTTCAGATTCAGTGTCAGAGAAAAAGGAAATAACATTTACACCTGCCTTGATGCTCTTTCATGCATAATGAGCAATGCCTTAAATTGTACCTCTCCACTTCCCCTAAAATAGCATCACATAGTTCTGTGCCAAGATCAAATTTATTTAAACTAACATACAAACTAACAATCCAAACCCAATCTGGAATCTAAAGAAGTTATGTTGCTGGTTATTGTCTAGCTTGCACATTCCATGGGCCCAAATTCTGCCTCAGTTTCAACCAAGACATTTTACTGTCTGTAAAATAAAGGAAATTAAATTGCCCAAGGACAAATAAAGGCAGCTTTTGGCCTGGAGTTGCAACTTGGTCTACTATTCTCGTCTCAGATAGGCTAACTCCACTCTCTCTCATTGATCTGCAGGGGGAAAGAAATAAAAAGAATTAAAAACTATTTTTCTCAACAAGTGTAAATGTATTTAAAATTATTTAAGAAGGAATACTAACTCACATGAAGAAATGGGACAATGCCATCTCTTGAAATAGCCTGCAACAGCCGGGGAGCACCAGTGAGACTCTGAAGACCAGCACCACATGTTGAAAAGAATGAGCCAATTACAATCACCCATGGGGAAGGCCATGCCAAGGTACCAATCACTAGGTTTCCATTAACTGCTTCTCCAAACCTGGAGGGAAAAACAAATACATTAGCAAGAGAGCAGCAAGTGCTAAAGTAAATTTTTCTAAGTGGAACTCGACATGTATGTCTCTTAATTTATCTGTCAGCAATTAGTAAATGACACACTAAAATAAAACCATACAACTTAGGGTTTACCTAGCTACTGATTACTCTCTTACACTCATTATAATATTAAATCAATCAGAACCTAAGTTTCAGACCACTTCTGCCATTTACTATTGTTGTTATGACATGTTTACAAAGCATAAAAACCCCCAAAGCATCTAGACATACTTAAGAATTTATACCACTAGGAAGACCATGCTTACATACTCTGAACTGCTTGTGGTATCAAGCTAATTGCCAGGACATGGTAACACCAACCATGACAAGAACCACCACGTTTTTAAAAGCCTCTGCTGTGGTGGGGGGGG